AAGAAACACTTGTAATTGAGAGCTTCTTCCTGCCACAATTTTTCTCAACCTTAGCAATATTAACAAAAATGTACTACTAGTCCTGTGTTCACATAGACAAAAGTGTCCTGTGTTCTAATATGAGTTCATACCCAAGACCCACTAAGCGCATTAATACTTTCTTTCCTTTTGAAGCTTTGCATTATGAACTGAATTTTTGCTTTGAGCCTTATCTGCTAGAACTGGTGTACTTCTGCCTTGGGAGGAAACTCCAGGTTCAGGAGTTTAAATGATTCAGGTTAATATTGTACAATAGCACAGACCAGCAGGGAATAGAAAGCTACTGCATGTATAATACTGTATTGGCCACAGTAACATGAATGCTTTATTCACTGCTGCTATTCTACTGGGTTTGTATTTTAATATTACCAAGTAGAACTCTGAGTGATGCCAGATTATTGTAATGCCAGAGTTTTACATGAGAGACTTTCAGAGCTAATTTGCTAAGCGTCAGTAAAATCTTACTATCATGAAAAGTTACAGATGTTAATGAAATGTTTATTCTTCTACTTGTTCCGTTTTCCTCTTTCTTCCCCCGCCTTCCAAGCTGCTCTTCATTTTAACTGCAGTTCCAGGGCTTGCTCTTACAAATAAGATCAGCTAATGGAAGACCTTATGTGCATAAGTTATTGTTACCATCTCAATGTATAGTCTTCATGACTATTGTCTTGTCTTCAAACTTTCTAAGGTTACCACAAAGAGATTCAGTTTCTAGGTGAAAATATATTTTCACTGAAACAGCCTCTTTTCTTTTCCCCTTCTTCCAAATCTGATCTTTTCTTTTGAGAAATAGTTTTACCATGGTGGATTGAGGTATAATTGCTAGAACTACTTAAATGGAAGCAGAAAGGTATGCAGTGTTGGGAGTTATCTCGAAAACAAAAATGAAGAAACATGGGGATTTAACCAGTTTCCTGTCTAATTTCTTCAGGGATGGGGTTCTTCAGTTCTGTAACTCTTGATGCTTTGCAGCGTTACTGGACCTCAAGGTGGTTTAGAAAGTGGCATAGCTTCTCTTATCTTCCAAATTTCTGTTGTCTTGAACGTGTTTTAAGTCAGTCACTCATAGTATATGTATTTGCAAAGCTGCTATGGCACAGATTTTCCAATTATAATATATTGCAAATGTGTTTCCTTTTTGCCTCTGAATGTCTTCCCCTGCAGGGCAGGGAAAATTATTTTACTAAAAATGTTGGTATGTAATGTATATGTGGGAGCTCAGATAATGTGAGATGTATAGACTTGCTTTTTTAAGCAGTCTCATGATGTGCCTGATCATGTTTGCTATCAAGGGATTAAACTTGCTAATAAAATAAAATCAGGGTGGCCTTTCTGTTCTTATTTAGAGACACTTTTACATCAAATACATTGATGGATGCAAAAGATTGTTCTGGGGTTGGTGTTAAAGGTTTGTATTGGTTTGCATTTGAACAGAATGAAAGTACTGGTCCCTTGAAAGTATGGAGAGATTGTTTAATATATTTTGTAATTAATGCACAGCTATATTTCTGACAGGATTTAAAAAAAATAAAGTAATTAAACTGTGCACTGTATGTTGCATCTTTATTCATATGGAAGGCTATTCAAGAAGATGAACTGATACAGGACCTACCTCTGTTGCAGTTTCTCTGTCTGGTAAGTTTCAGAGTTGGCTACTTTTTAATGAGGGGAAATAATGTATCATAGATCACCAAGAAGGCAAAGAATATATTTCAGGATTAAAAACTTGTGTCATTTATAAAATGTATCGATAGTTTTATTCATTACTAGAAAACATAGCTAGAGTAATTAATAATACACTAAGGGTTCTCATGATCATCCTGTAATTTAAGATGCAGCTCTGAAAAACACTGCACTCTCTCACCTCTCTGGCCACATCCTGCTTTCCTGCTGGCTTGTTAGATTTATCACAAAAAACAACTGTGGGTTGAAGCTTTGTTGCAAGATACTCAGATCAGAAACCAAAGGGAGTTCCTCTGTCAATAAGAGAAATAAGTGTTCGTTCCATGGCAATCTGCTAATTTATCTCGACCACAGAGGCATTCTGCAGCCAGGGAAGGCTTGATCTTGGCCTCCATGCCCTGTACAGTGTTTGTGTTCAAGATGTTCAAATTCTTCTGAGGAAGCTTGGTGATATTTACTAGATGTAAGATCTAATGCAGTGCGGTTAATGTCAGGTTAATTATGACTTTATCTTTCATCCCTGTTGGCCCTCATAGCTTCCATGAGTAATGGATAGGAAAGCATACTCGGATACCAGTATCTGTTGTGTTAATCCATTTTTAATGCTCCATATTTTCAAATGCACTAAAATACTTTGAGATGAAGTACTAAGGGCCTTTTTTTTAAACAGGAAAAATAGGCACACACAGCTGCACCTGTGAAGAGAAAGTCAACATGTAGAAAGAGAAGATGCCAGCAATATAGAAGTGTTCACATTCACATAAATACAAATGTCTCATGTACCTGTATGTTTCTGAAAAAACTTGGCTTTGTGGTGCTGAACTAAATGTGGACCAGGATACTCTCACTAAATATTTTCTTGGACAAATACCAGTTCATTGCAGCAATTTCACAGGGAGAATGTGGTAGATTTAAGCTAAAACCTTACTACTGCAAAACCAGTTGCTCTGCTGCCTTACTCATCCCCAAAAAGCATTTACAGAAGTCCACAAAACTTACTAAATTAGCCCAAATTAGGGCTGGGTATGTTATTAACATGTGCAATAAATACAAGGCTACAGAATGGGAGGTTAATAGCCCAAAAAGGGCAAGTAGGGAAACTAGGCCTGTCTGGATGAAATGAGTAAGATGGGTGATAAATTCTGCCTTTTGCACATTTTGGCTCAAAAAAAAAAAACCAAAACCCAACCTCAAACACGCACTCATGCCACTTAAAGAGGAAATTGTTGTGCTGGTAGGAAAAATGCCCATAGGAAACACACTTCACTGTCACCACTGTCCCCCACCACCATCCTTTGCCTGCTCTATCGGGAAGGGGTGGCTTGGCCAGGCTGGACTGAGTGGGCCCTGCTGTTACTGGTTGTTTCCAATTTGAGCTGATTTTAATGATTTTTGGTGATTTTGATAAGGAGTGATTAGGCCTAATCAATTAAATGGAATTTTACAGGAGTACTGGTTTTATAAAAAGACAGTAGTGTAATGTTTTAAGTAGTCATGGAAATACTGTATTTAGCAAACATACACCCAATTATGCTGCTACAAAGTCCTTTGCAAAGTCCCAGGCTAATGCCACGTAGGCTGGTAATAATCATTAACCAGATTTCTATTCAAAGAATAAGACTCATGACCAGGTACCATTGTCAGACTGTTCGGTAAGGATCGTTTATTGCCCTGTAGACCAGGTATTCTAAAAGATACGTTGTGAAAGGGCCTCAAAGCGTGTTATAATTGCAATGTGAGCCAAAATCCTTGGGTCAAGGACATTGGAGGGTCTTTCTTTTAGGTCAGTAGTCCGTGGTGGTCTCAAAAGCAGCCCCCCTACTCAATTCAGGACTCAGGTGCACATGACTGGAAAGGGGTGGGAATGAACCAGTGAGTTACGGGGATGATCATGTTTATGCATGAGAATTTGATTACTATATATGACTGTATCCTATATAATCAGCATGCTACACGAGTTAGGTGTGTGTTGGTGAGACGACTCCCCCCACACCTGGCCATTAATAAAGGAGTGTCTGCTTATCTACATCACATTGGTGTCTGTAAGTTCTTTTATCCTGTTTTGGTGACACTGGTGCCACCACCACTTCACAGGATCTGAGAGTCTTAGTGACCTGGAACCTGAAAATTCAAGATATGTGGCCTTCATGTCTTTTTTCTTTACTGGTTTTGATTTTTTTCAGTTAAACCTAACCTCCTTGATAAAGATACATGTCTCAGCACAGAGGCAGCCACTTACAGTTTACACTTGTTGGGGCTCAGAAAGTGTGAAGAGTTTGTGCTACTTCTGCAGACTTTTCCAGTTTGCAAACGACAATTAAGAAAAAGAGCCCAGACAGAACTGTCCTCGTTTCTCATATTCTCTCTTCTTTTGTTTCCCCTTGTCTGCAAGGAAGCAGCAATTGGTTCTGCAGTAGTAGTCATAGTTTAAGTCCACCCTCACTCAGATTTTATTCCAAGCAGAACTATTCTTACCACTGCTTCTCATCCCCTCTAAAAGAGTGCAGTTTTCTCTATTTAAAAAAAAAAAAAAAAAAAAAAAGGTTAAACTGTAAAAGTTAATTTACCTTGCTATTTTATAGGGGAGGAGGAGCAGATGAAGACTGAGATACAGCATCATGAAGATAATCTGCTCAAAACCCGGGGCCCTGCTTCACTGCCTGGTCCTGTCAGCAGTCATGTTTGTTCCACTGAAACAAGTGCCTGGGTTTCACAGCTCTGACAGGCTGGGTTTGCTTGGGTTTTTTTCCCTTCAGATGTAATAGGAAAATTTCTGAAACTGTGAGAGAGGAGGAGACTGTAGAACAGGACAATAATTTCCCTATTAGCTGGAGCCCCAGCCTTGACGAGCCTCCTTTTCCTTTCGGTTTGTGCTGATGGATCCCTGACGGGACACAGCCTGTGAAGGTTCCTGAGTTCAGTGATTTCATCCTGCTCCTTTGCCCCAGTTGCTTCCTGGCGCTGGCTGCTCACCCATGCAAGTGTGGATGGTGATTTCAGGTGGTGCACAGCTCCTGGGGAGCCTGGCACCTGGTGCTGAGGTGGGGAAAAGCCCTGGGCTGCTCCCTGTCCTGCAGATCCCAGCTGATAGCTCCTCACCCAGGTACCGCCGGGTTTGGCTGGGCTCAGCCAGACCTGGCAGGTGCAAAATGAGTTCAGAAGCCATAGGTGTGTTTTCTGGTGGCTTTTGTCCAGGAGACTTCCCCACT